AATTAACCCATGTTCCATCACCATAGCCCCATACACTCTCCCCCCTCCCCAATTTTTTATCCCATTCCCCACTATATATCGCTGGTACATAGTTATTCATCATTATTATTTTTCTCCCTAGTCATCATGCTCCTGCTATGAGTGAAACCATCTGGCATTTCTATTTTTCATTCTGACTTACTTTACTAAGCATAATCTCTTCCATTTTCATCCATGTTAATGCAAAAGGCATGTGTTTATCTTTTTTGATTGCTTAGCAATATTCCATTGTGTATATGTACCATATCTTTTTAATCCAGTCATCTACTTTTGGGCATTTGTGTTGTTTAAATGTTTTTCCTATTGTAAATAAAGCAACAATAACATGGGGTGCAGGTGTCTTTTTGAATCAGTGATTGGTTGTGCCTTTTGGGTAGATACCTAGAAGTGGGATTGCTGGGTCATATGGAAGCTCCATTTTTAGCAGTTTGAGAAATCTCCAAACAGTTTACCATAGTGGTTGTACTTGTTTGTATTAGCATCATCAGCGCAGGAAAGTTCCTTTTTCTCCACATCCTTGCCAACATTTGTTGTTGCTAGTTGTTTTAAGATATGTCATTCACACTGGTGTGAGGTGGTATCTCATTGTGGTTTTAATTTGTATCTCCTTTATTACAAGTGATGTTGAACATATTTGCATATGCTTGTTAGCCATCTGCATTTCTTCTTTGGAAAGCATCTTTTTAGCTATTCTACCCATTTTTTTTTGTTGTTGGGTTTGTTTATTTTTGTTGAGTTTCATCAGTTCTTTGTATATCTTTGTGATAAATACTTTATCACCAGTATTATGTGAGAAAAATTTTCCCAGTCAGTGGAATGTCTGTTTGTTTTCTGAAATCTCTCTTTTTCTACACAGATGCTCCTTAACTTGATGTAGTCCCATCTGTTTATCCTTTCCTTCACTATTTTTGTGTTGGGTCCTGTATCTTTAAAGATGTTACTAAGGTGTATGTTGTGTAGTGTTTTACCCATCTTTGCTCTCATGTATTTTATGGTTTCAGTCTGACAGCTATGTCTTTAATTCACTTTGAGTTTTTTTGTGTATTGTGCAAGGTAGTGATCTAGTTTCATTTTTTCTGCATATAGGATCCCAGTTTTCCCAGCACAATTTGTTGAACAAACTTTCTTTGTTCCATTGAATATTCTGTGTTCCTTTGTCAAAGATTAGCAGTCCATAAACCTGTAGGTTTATTTCTGGGTTTTCTATTTGAGTCCAACGGTCTATGTGTCTGTTCTTTTCCAATACCATGCAACTTTGATTATTATGGCTTTGTAGTATAGTTTGAAGTTTGGGACTGTGATTCTAAAATTTCCTTTTTTTTAGTCACGAGAGTTTGGGCTATTTGTGGTTGTTTATAGTTACATATTAATCTCATCAATATTTGTTCTATTTCTTTGAGGAAGGTCATTGAGAATTTTATTGGGGTATCATTAAATCTGCATATCACTTTGGTAGGATGGCCATTTTGATGATGTTATTTTTCCTGATCCATCAGCAGGGGACATATTTCCATTTCATGATGCCTTCTTGTATTTCTTTTAACAGTGTTTTGTAGTTTTCTTTGTGTAGGTCTTTTACCTTTTTCATTAGGTTGATTAATAGGCACTTAATTATTTTTGTTTTAATTGAAAAGGGGATTCTTTTCTTTTATTTTTAGTTACTTCTACTTTTCTGATTGGTTGTATATAGGAAGGCCTCTGTTTTGTGTGTTGATTTTACATGCTACTACCTTAACTAAACTGGTTGATTGTTTTTATTAGTCTCTCTATGGATTTCTTAGGATTTCCCATGTAAATTGTCATATTGTTTGGAAATAAATACAGTTTTATTTCTTCTTTCCCTATTTGGATTCCTTGTATATCTTTTTCCTGTCTTATTGTTCTGGCTAGAACTCCCAATGCTATGATGAAGAGCAGTGGCAATAGTGGAGATCCTTGTATTGTTCCTGATATCAAAGGAAAGGCTTTCAGCTTTTCTCCGTTGAGGGTAATATTGACTATGAGTTTTTCATGTATAGCTTGTACCATTTTGAGGTTTGTTCTTTCTATTCCAAGGATTTTGTGGGCCTTAAACATTAATGGGTGTTGAGCTTCTCTGCATCTATTGATCTGATTATTACTTTTTTTTTTTTTCCTGTTGGTTAATGTGATGCATCACATTAATTGATTTGCTGATGTTAAACCATCCTTGTACTTCTGGCATAAAACGCACTTGGTCATGTTGTATTATTACTTTAATGCATTGTTGGATTCTCTTGACTAAGATTTTGTTGAGGATTTTTGCATCGGTGTTCATTAGGGAGATTGGTCTTAAGTTTTCCTCTTTGTATTTTCTTTGTTAGGTTTTGGTATTTGTGTGACATTGCTTTGTAGAATGTATTTGGTAGTTTTGCTTCTTTTTTGATTTTTTGAATGAGTTTGTACAGAATGGCAGTAGTTTCTGAACTTTTTGTAAAATTCATTTGTAAATCCATCTGGTCCTGGGCTTTTATTTTTGGGGAGGGTTTTGATTACTTCTTCAATTTTCTTGCTTGTAATTGGCCTGTTTAGTTGTTCCTTTTCTTCTTTATCTAGCCTTAGGTGAGTGTAGAGTTGTAGGAATTTATCCTTTCTGCAAGATTGTAGAACTTGTTTGCATATAGCTGACTGTATTATTCACTGATTATTCTTTTGATTTCTGCTATATCTGTTGTGATTTCCCCTCTTTCATTTATGATCCTGTTTATGTGTG